TGAATGAATAGAGAAATGTGGATTTCTCTCACATTATTAAACTTGGACATATTTATAAAATACAAAACGGGAATCTGTTAATTTGCTAGTTGGAAAAAATAATAATAAAATAAGTAAAACACTTAATCCACCCTGAAGATGAAAAACTATAATTTAAACACAGGGTAATATTTTAARATAAAGATTAACTCAAAAACAAACTAGGAACATAATAAAATATCTCTGAAGGACGTGAGATACAAATGAGTACTGGTAATTGTTTGTTTGTTTGTTTGTTTGTTTGTTTGTTTGTTTGTTTGTTTATATTCCCTCTGGTTCTATCTTAGCTGGGCTGCACAGCATGATGGTCAGTTACTGTTCATTAGATTGGTTTACTGGCCGGATTATGTCACACAGATTATATCAACTTCAAGTTGAATATTTGTAGTGACTGTGTTTTGTTGTTGTTCTTTCACATGGAGTTAAACTCAACAAGAGGAAGCTAACGTTAGCCACAGTTAGCTTACTGTTCTCTATCATCCTGCTCTCTCGTCGTTAACATCATACTGCTGGATCGTACAGCCTTCGGTACTTTTCCTTCCAGTTTGGTGTAGACCATTATTATTGTTGTGTCACAAATAAAACTAAATAAGACTTGCGCGTTTGTGGTCCCGCCCACATCAAGACAGCTTTCTGCTCAGTTTAACAGGGCCAGGGTAGAGTAGCAGCGCCCTCTGCTGGATGAAGGCAAAACTACACTGAAATAGGGTTTAAACATATGTTTAAACCCATGTATGAAATTTTAATCTAATAAAACATTTTGACAATTAATCGTAAGTCKATTAATTGTAAGCATGCCTAGAATGTTCACATTACATTTTGAATGCATCAGACTCCAGTGTGAACGCTACACSGCACTGATGTGACCCACATGTGTAGAAAAATACGTGACGTCTCATTCAGCCGGCTGTTTGTTTACAGAGTTAGCATGGATGCTACTTTAAGCATGTTGAATCTGAAGTTGTTGTTTAATCAGAGATGATTAAATAATTATCTGACGCTTGTTTAGTTCAGTGTTTATATCTTAACCTGCCTCTGACCGGATGCTCCGGTGAAGCTTTTTATTTTCTGAATGAAGCAGCGAGCTGGAAATTGATGAAGTAACTTTAGGATCGATACGGTCTGCGACTGAGGGTGGACGTTATTATCTACATGGAAAATTTAAAAGTAAAAAAAAAAAAAACGAAGCAGCTGGACTTCTGTTTCGGAGCTGTAAACACATGGAGCTGAAGAAATGTATTGGTCAGTTTAGTTACTGATTTTAAAAGCACTACACCATTTTCTTAGTTTTTCCTTTTTAAGTATTGACTGTTATTATCCATTATTTAACTATTGTTATGTCTTCATTAAAATAGTTTAGGTACATGCCCGAAACATTTTTACAACACATAAAAAACCATTAATCAAACATAAGGACATGTTTTTTTTTGTCTGAGTGCCTGTGATTCAGCCGTAGACCAGTAGAGGGCGCACCACTGAAGAACATGTATAAATATCTTGTCAGCGTTGGTTTCCTGCTTGCTTTGACAGCATTAAAGCACTGTTCATATCCAGTCACTGGAGTTGTATGGTCCTCATTCCTTTCACATTTCAATTTATTCAACATTTATGTGTTTTCGTCTCGACTTCAGTTATTGAACACTAAATTTTCTTACAGAGCTACAGATTTAAACAGCACGATTCAAGAAAATGAAAAGAAGCAACAGTTGACTAAAGTCTGGCCCCTCCAAAGACCACCAGAATTTTTACCTCTACTTTAAAAAGTTGCAAGAAAAATAAAAAGTTGTATATGCAAACTAACTCTTCTTTAGATTACTGGAGGGAACAACTGGTTTCAAGAGGATTGAATTTAAAGATGTTTAACTTTGTAATTTTTGATCCACTTTAAAAGCCTTTTTAAAACTTTAGTTCTGAAAACKGAGAAGTCATAACTTGGTTTATTAATATAAAATCAAATCTGTTCAGAACCTGTAAGGTACATTTACTTCTTTCCACGAGTGGTTTTTGAACGATGAAAGTTTGTTGGTGTTATTACAGCTCTTTATGCTACAATACTTACATCCATCACTTGACACAGGAAACTATGCTCCTCCAGATTTTGTGTCAAAATGCTAAATGTTCACTGATCTTGGGAATTATTTTTGCTTTGGGCCTAACTTTAACCTGCACCATTTCCCTCTGCTAATAAAGAGGCAATTAGCCTCAAACGTCTGGTTCATTCGCCACCAGGATGGAGAATATGAGTGTGCACAAACACAGCTGCTTTACAAATTACTACAGGAAGTCAACAGTAAAATGTCACTGGATAACCTCATATAAAGTGAAATCTGAATATCTTTTATTTTTTAGACTTTGTAAGAAGCAGCATTCAGGTCTTTAATGAGGGTTTTTCAGAATTGAGCTTCTGAACTTTTCTAAACGAGTCTGAATCTGGTAATTAATAAAGAGAAGGAAGATGTGCCGTTAGCACAAATTGACTTTACCACTCAATCATTGCAGAGCTCTTTAAGTAAAGATATTATCCTTTATTTTATGGTTTTACAGTAAATTGGTTCATACATAAAGAAAAATGCTGTAAATCTCTCTCTTCACTCAATATCCTTATTAAATTCTCTTCAAAGCAGCTCTAAAGGAGATGTGAGGTAATCAGACTCTTCCAGATATTTTCTGTTTGCAAATGTAAAAAATATAGTTTTTTTTAATCTATCACCATTTCAGTTCTTTTTTTGCATATTTAAGAATAATCTTGTGGTTACATTAAGAAATATTCTTAATATAAAATATTATCRCTGACAAACATCAGAAGACAAACAACAATAAAAACATTTTAACAGCGTTTTTGTATAAAAGTTAATTAGGGCCATCTAGGAACAAATTAAATAAGAAGGAAAACTTTTTATTGTTTGTTTCCCAGCTTCAACAAAGAGAATAAATCTGGAATATTAAAGGCAGAAAAAAGAGGCAATGTTCAGAAAAAATAAAATCTTTCTAGAAGTGAACCGCATCATGTTCCTGAACCTGTTTTTGTTTCTTTTCACTGCACCTGAGGGTAATGAGTACAAGGAGTACAAGCAAACTGGTGCTAAATACTTTTTGTTGAATCAGTCCGAGGCATGATTTGTTACTGTCACAGTGAAACTGTTACAATCCTTCACAATAAGAGTCTCAAACACACACACTGAGCGCTTTAAAAACCGTCTCTAAACACCTGAATCTTATGAAAATAGCTTTTTTTCTTCAGTTAATGAGACCCCTCAGCCTCAGGGGCAGAGCTAGAGGGGTGGCTGGGGTGGTCAGTGCCACTCCTAGCACCTGGTTGGCCACCCCCAGGTGCAACCCCCAAATAATCGACAAGTGGGTGAGGATCTTAGATTTTTATTTGTATTTAGATTTTGTTAAAGGTTGTTGTCTGATACCTCTGGACTGTGTAATGTGTCAGCTGCGTWTCTTTAAAAAATGGCTGAATTATATCCATTTATAAAATTAGCATTAGTGGTAAGCTTAATTTGAGATTATCAGTAATCGACGTGATCATCCTTAGGCTACGTTCACACTGCAGGCAAATCCGACCCAAATCCGATTTTTTTGACCCATCTGACTCATATCTGATTTTTTATGACAGTCTGAACGAGACAAATCCGATTTTTTCTAATCCGACCCAGGCCGTTTCA